TTCCGGCATATCGCCTCCTTTTGTTTCCTCGCCACTGTGAATATTTATCGCTCTGGGGCTTTGTTCGGGGTGCGTTTAATGTTTAGCAGCCAATTTGCTGCCACTTCCTAGTCCTGTTTCTGCACAGGGCTGGGAACAGCCCCTTTGCCTGCAGACTTTTGTTAATCTTTATCTTTTAACAAAACACGTGGACTCCAACTTTTAAGAGAAGACAACGTCCCTGGCACACTCACCAGTAACCTGAATTCTCTGATGTTCTACTCGGAAACATAAATAAGGAAAAGAAAGCCCTGACAAAGAGAGCACCCCAATAAAGGAAATGGGGCACAGCAGCACCCCCCTGTCCCCTTAGAGCTTTTACAGGTACTCTGCATCTGCGCTTCATCCCAAGGCAGCCGGGCCAGGAGCCCCCTCTAGCGGGGCCAGCCACGGCCACGGCAGCGCCCGAGCGGGAGAAAATCCCAAAAATGCCGCTGGAATAGGAGCTGAGTGCAGGGGATGTGTTACAGACGTGTTTTATGAAACATCCTTTCTTTAAGATTTTTTTCTCTTGAGAAGCCTCAAGAACAAAATGCAAACAATAACTGTCTGCTGCTGCAGATTGCAACAGGTGTATCTTTGAATAGTTTCATGTAGTTGTTTTTAATAAATAGCTAATCACAGTCTAGCTGTGTCTCTCTCTAGTTAGACACAAGATTTTGTAATCATTCTATTTTTCTCTTTTGCTTTCAAGCTTTCTAATAAAATCTTTTCTTATATTCTTTTAGTATAGTTTTAATATAATATATATAATAAAATAATAAATCAAGCTTTTTAAAGTATAGAGTCAACATTCTGGTCTCTTCCCTCATCCTGGAGCCCCTGTGAACGGCACCATGGGGATGGGCAGGGAGCCACAGCCTCGGCTCTGTGCCCGTGCAGGGCTCTGGGTGCTCAGCTTTGGGGGCAGCTCCTGCTCCCCTCATTCCAGCCTGCCAGTGCCTGAAGGGAGCTGCAGGAGGGTGGAGAGGGGCTCTTGGCAGCAGCTGTGGGGTAGAACAAGGGGGAATGGGCTCACACTGCCAGAGGGCAGGGCTGGATGGGATATTGGGAATGAGGAATTGTTCCCTGGCAGGGTGGGCAGGCCCTGGCACAGCTGTGGGTGCCCCCGGATCCCTGGCAGTGCCCAAGGCTGGGCTGGATGGGGTTTGGAGCAGCCTGGGACAGTGAGGGTGTCCCTCATGGCAGGGGTGGGATGGGGATGGATGGGCTTTATGGTCCCTTCCCACCCAAACCACGCTGGGATTCCACGTGAAGTCCTTTGCCACATTTGGAGCCTCTCAGACTCTCACTTTGAGGAGCTGTTGGGAAGGCCCTGATGGATTCCTGCTCCTTTCTCCCTCCTCGGCTCCCAGGGCAGCCCCAGGAGCTGTACCAGGCCCCGCAGAGCTGGTGCAGGGCAGAGCAGCCACTCCTGGCTGCCGGTGACGTCCCATGAAGACATTTTGAGCCTCCGCACTTCCTGACCTGGGCTTATTTCACGTGTCTGCCTCTGCCTCGGCTGCTCTGGAAAGCGTGAGTGCCCCAGCCCTGCTCGGGTGGGCAACAATTCTGGGAAAAACAATCCTGGGCTTCTTTCCAGGAAAGCCACCGTGCTCTTTCCTGCCACAGCCATGGCAGTCTGATGTGGTGGAGAGGAGCAGCAGCAGCAGGAACACGAGGATGAGGTTGGAGCAGTGCCTGCCCCTCCTGGGGCTCCTGCTGTGTGCAGGTGAGTCCCCAAACTTCAGGCAGCTGGGTGCAGTGTGAGTGTAAGGTTCCACACTCCTAATTTTGGGGGTTTTATCCTTTATCTGTGCACTTTTCTCAAAGCTTGGTGATCCTGGGTAAGTGACTCAGGCTTGGTAGAACTTCAGGGGTGGGGTGGCAGTTGGGGTGCCCCTCTGGCTTAGGATGAAGTGCAGAGTACCTGGAAAGGCTCTAAAGAACCCAGTAATGAGGAGAGATGAGTGTACAGGATAATCCATTACGAGTTGTTACCAGACTCCAGCTACTCTGCCCAAGTGCTGCGAGTACCAACTTTGTGAAGGTAGAAAATGTGGTTTATCAATGGCCTGTTCTTTTTCCACATTTAAATTTGTCTCTGTAAAATAAAAACCATCAGGTCACCTTCTCTCCAAGGAATTCCGCTGTGGAATTCAAATCTGCAGTCGCTTATTTACGTTACGTTTTGCAAAAGGACAAATGTCTTTAAAGGAAATCACAACTGTGATTCACACCTCCTAAAAACTCTTTCTTTAATATTCCAGCTCCAGAGCCTCTCATGGAGCAAGTTGTTTCCTACAAGGCAGAAAAACCACACAGATAAACAGTTTTACAGCGTTAAACCAACGTCAGGCTCCCACTCTTGCAGAGGTTCTTACCAGGATTTTCCAGCAGTGTTTGCTCCACAATAATAAAGCAGAATTTCTGGGTTTGCATCTTGCAATAACAACCTTTTTTTTCTGAACTGGGTTGGAAAATGATTCAAGTTTCCATTCTGCGTTAGGCTGTGTTGAAAATGGCTTCCAAGTTCAGAACAACATCCTGTCTCACCAGCAGAATATTTCTGATGCCTTCAGCATGAATGTGGGATTGTAAATATCTCTTTCAAGCTGATTCAGAAAGGATGTCCTGGGAGTAGGAAAGGTGTGTGATAGCTGAACTTCAATTATTTAACATTTCTTATTCCTTTTTTTGCAGTTGGAACCACAGCTCAGCTGGGTAAGTGCATTTTACTGCCATCCTTAGCTATTTATCATGCTAAAAGCCCTCAAAAGTGAGGACTAAAAGTCAAATAGAAAGATTTGAATTTTGTAAATATTGCAAGATAGGAAAAAATCACTGTTCATTAATTGACAGTGGTCTTACTGATTGGAGGAATTGGTATGTAATTATTACCAGTGTTGGGCATTTCCAGCATGGTGAGGCAATGGTGAGATGATTTTTTAACACTCTTTATTTTCTGTTTTGCAGATGAAGAACTGGAGGGTAAGTGAACTTTACCAGCATTCTTTAGTATTTAGCAGGGTATAAAGACTGTAGCTGACTAAAAACCAGGTGGAAATATCTGACTTTTGCCCTTGGTTTCCTTTCTCATTGGTGCGTCCTCCCAAGAGGAATTCCTGGTGGAGATTTCTGGCACCACGGTGACCGTCACATGTCCCGTGGATGAAGACGAGGACATCCAGTGGGAGCTGTCTGGGAAAACCCAGGACACCAAGAGCAGGAAGTTCACTATAAAGGACCACGACAGCTCCCCTGCCAACCTCAGCTGCTCCTCTGGTAACACAAAGCATCAGCTGTACCTGAATGCCAAAGGTGAGCGCTGCCCCCTCACCTGGCAGGTTTGGGGGCTGATTGGGTTTCCAGTGGGGTGGGATGAATGTGATGCTGCTGAGGCCAGTCCCAGAGCCCATTTTGGGCAAATCTTCCCTCCCAGTTTGCCCCTTTTCCCCTTCCCAGCTGCCCATAGCCCTGTGCCAGGCTGGGCTCTCCTGGCTCTGAGCATCCCCTGCCCTCATCCCTGCAGTTTGTGCCACCTGCGAGGAGCTGGACGCCCTGATCGTGGCAGGGATCATCACTGCAGACCTCCTCATCACCCTGGGCGTGCTCATCCTGGTCTATTACTTCAGCAAAGGCAGGAAGGGACGAGCCAGCTCTGCTGGGGACAGCCGGCCACGAGGTGAGAGCCACTGCAGGCACCCCTGCTGTCTGTGCCACCCTCTGGGCACCCAGGTGTGGTATTTTCGGGGTCCCCAGATGGAGGAGAAAGGAAATTGTGAATCTGACTCCATGGTTTTAGAAGGCTGATGTATTATGATATGATATTATTATATTATATTATATTATATTATATTATATTATATTATATTATATTATATTATATTATATTACGCCATACTAAAATTAAACTAAAGAATAGAGAAAGGATACAGACAGAAGGCTACAAAGAATGATAATGAAATCTTGCGGCTCTCTCTTCAGAGTCTGACACAGCTTAGCACTGATTGGACATTAAGTAAAAACAATTCACATGCTGGATAAACAATCTCCAAGCACATTCCAAAGCAGCAAAACGCAGGAGAAGCCAATGAGATAATATAATTTTCCTTTTTCCCTGAGGTTCTCAGCTTCCCAGGAGCAAATCCTGGACAAGGGGATTTTTCAGAAAAAAGACAGTCACACCCAGGGAAACCCTCATTCCATCCTCTGCTCCCCATGAGCTTCCAGGCAGTGCTCCTGCATCCCAGGGGTGTTCTCCAGGATTTCTCTGTGCAGGGATGGGCTGGCTGCTGCAATGGAGCTCATTTCCCAGGCCGCTGTGCTGGAGCCAGCCCTGCAGCTGTGTGTATTCTGAGCTCTTCAGGAGCTCAGAATGAATCCATGGGGGTTGATCCGTGGTGTGCCTGGCCCTGGGATCAGCCTGGAGGCCCCTCATGGCAGGGACTCACCCTCTCTGTGCCTCTGTTTCAGGTCCGAAGATGCAGCGGCCTCCCCCTGTCCCCAACCCGGACTATGAGGTGAGGACAGTCCCTTTCCATGCTGCTGCTGGGGAGGGACAGCCAGGTCATCCATCCCTGAAGGAGCATCCGGCCAAGCTCCCAGATTTCCTGGCAGGAATTGGGAAAAGGGTGGTTGGGGTGCAGCCCCTTTCCCTGGTGCTACCATGGGGATTTATGTGGGGGCAGAGCTGCAGCTCCCTGGGCACTGCCCCTGCTCTGCTGTGCTTTTCTCCACGCCTGTGTGGGCTTAGTGAGGGCTCTTAGAGCTGGTGCTATGGAGGAATGATGAGGAGGACTCCATCTTATCAGAACACTAATTCATTACTTTATTATACTGTATTATTCTGTACATCTAAAACTGAACCTGCCAAGCACTCAACTCTGCACACGCTGCACAGAATCTCGTGACTGTCACCCTCAGTCCTGACACACACACACACACACCTGGCCCTGACAGGCCAAGGAAACAAAACACCATCACTGTTGGTAAACAGTCTCCACATTGCATTCTACTATTGCACATTCTACTATTGCACATTCTACTATTGCATTCTACTTTGGCACAGCAAATGAGATATGAATAATCTTGGGAAGAATTATGCCTTGCTTTTCTCTGTGAAATGTACACACTGGGCCCTGACAGGCCATGGAAAGAAAACCCCATCACTGTGGGGAAACAATCTCCACACTGCATTCTACTTTGGCACAAAAACAGGCGCAGCAAATGAGATGAGAATAATCTTGGGAAGAATTGTGCCCTCTTTTCTCTGTGAGGAGAAATGTGGGGCTCCAGCTCCTGACCCAGGATCTCATGTCTCCCCACAGCCCATCCGGAAGGGGCAGCGGGAGGTGTACGCAGGCCTGGCCCCCAGGGCCATCTGAAACTCCTCTGATGGCAGCCTGGACCAGCAGCTCGGGATGAAACGCTTCTGCCCACCTTGTCCCAGCTCTCTGCAGCTCTGCTGAGCCTCTGGCATTCTGGCCACAGGACAGGGATGGGCTGTCCCACCCTGGGGTGTGCTTGGGTTTGCCAGCCCGGAGCAGAAATGAGCACATTGGCACGAGATTTCCTTCTCATTAAAGGACTGCAGCCTCACTGGGCCTCCCTGGTCTCCTTTTCCCCTCACACTTCCCTCTGCTCCTGCTGCTTTCCCCTCAGGTTTAATGTCTGCCCTGAGTGCCCCCACTTGGTAGTGGTGTTGCCTGGGCTGAGAACGGATCCTTTTCAGTGGGATTTGATCCTGCTGCCTTTCCCTCAGGTTTAATATCCACCCTGAGTGCCCTCACTTGGTTCTGGTGTTCCCTGGGCTGAGAACGGATCCTCCTCAGGGGGATTTGCCTCTGACCTGGTCCTGCTCTCCCCTTCCCAGCCTGGCCCCATTTGCAGCAGTGCTGCTCACAGAAGGTGAAAATGTGGCTCTGTGTGGGTTTGGGGCTCTGGGGCTGGTTGGTGCTGTGTGTATCTCGCCATCTCCCCGCCGGGGTGTGGGGCCTGCTGTGGTGAAGGAGCCCAGCTGTGCTCTAAACCGCATCCTGGAGCTGCTGGGGTGCAGCTCAACGCCCCCAGCCCTGCTCTGCTGCTGCTTCCTCTGCTCAGGGCTGCCTCAGCCAGGCTTCGAGCTCAAACAGGCACCAAAACAACCCACGGGCCCCTCTTCACTGCTGCACCCCCACTTTGGGGTTTTCTGCCTGCAGGGCTGCAAATTTCCTCATCCTTCCAGGGTGAGGTGATGCTGGCTGGCCCTGTTGGTGTCTGTGTCCTGTTTTGGGGGCTCAGACCACATGAGCTGTTTCTGCTTGGGGCTGGGGAGTGGAGACCTGGCATCGCCATCCCAAATCCCATCCTGTGCACCCTCCCAGTGACCAGATCTTCCCAGTGACCAGACCCCATCCCTGTGCCCTCCCCCAGGAGCAGCACACAGTAGATGGAGCAGGGAGCCCGTGGGACAGGCTCATCTTTATTGGCATTAATACAGAAGTGCAAGAGGTGTGCAATGGGCACAGGGCTGCAAGCAGCCCACCCTGGAGGGACCCCCGAGCAAAGCCAGCACGCCGATGAAGGCAGTCCCAGAGTCTTCCTCCTCACCTGCGCGCACGGGCGGGAGCCAGCCGGCTGTACTGATCCTCCTCCCGCTCTCCCAGGGGCTGCCAGGGGGAAAAAAAAGGGGACATGAACCCAAACTGCACCTGCCAAACCCTGGGAGGGTGAGCTGGGTCAGCCTTGGGCAAGATTCTCTCCACACTGAGGGGTTGAAGGTGCACAAACACACACAGGGGTGCTGGAGGTGTCCCCACACACACCCAGGAATGCTGAAGGTGTCCCCAAACACACACAGGGGTGCTGGAGGTGTCCCCACACACACACAGGAGTGCTGGAGGTGTCCCCACACACACAGGGGTGCCCCACACTCACCTGGTAGAGCTCGTTGGAGATCAGGTTCTGCTTGTCAGAGGCTGAAGGAAAAAAGAACAACAAGCTCAGAAACCAGGGGAGCCTTGGGCAATACGGGGAACATTTCCAAACAAACCCAAGAGCTGGCTGCAGCCCCCCGGGGTGCCACACAGAGCCCCCAGGGGTGCCAGGCACAGCCCCCGGGCTGGCCCCATCCCTCACCTCGCGAGGTGTGTCCCCTGTCATGGCCACTGATGCAGTACACGGCCACTGCCAGGAGCAGCGTGGCCACCAGGTCGGCAACGACAATGCCCGAGATGGTGGGAGCGTCCACCTCGATGCAGTTCTGGCACACTGCAAACCCAAAAGGACACAAACACTGAGGGCAGGGGCACATCCATCTGTGCCAGCGCAACAGAGCCCAGCTGGCTTTGCTGTGTGACCCCCGTGTCCCCCACAGCAGTGCAGGGCAGAGGAGCAGGTCATGGCACTGAACTGCAGGGCTCTCACAGGGACACCACATGCAGAGGAACCACTGGAGACACTCCCAGGTGAGGGGAAATTCCCTCAAGGCTCGGCTTGGGGGAAAACTCCGAGCAGCCCTGGCTCTGGCAAGGCAGCAGTGAACACTTACTGCGGTAGTGCACCTGGAGCCTGCTCTTCTGGCCTCCTGTCTCACACGTGTAGAGGCCCCTGGGGTCATCATAAACCCCGCTCAGGTCCAGCTGTGCCTCATGCCCTACAGGGCTCCCATCTCTCCACCACGTGATGTTCTTGCCTTGGCCCCTCACACACTCCAGGAACACCTTCCCGCTGAATTCCTTCACGAATATCTGCCCTGTGCAAGGAGAAGGGAGCAGAGAGCTTCACCTCTGAGCAATGAGCAGCAGGGCAGAGCTCGGAGCTCCTTCCTGGGCAGGACGCATCACATCAGACTGTCCCAAAAAATCTCTGGCCAAACACCCCCATCCTCCTGCACTGATTCCTTTTTCCCCATGGACATTCCAAACTTTCTCTGCAGGAAAACCTCACCAAGCCCTGGGGTTCCCAATCCCTGGGGCTCCTTCCCAGCATGTCCAGGGACCACGGCGAGTGTCCGGCCGCTGACCCCACACCCCCGGACTCACCTCGGACCCCCCAGCTGGCCAGGGCCAGGCTGGCCAGCAGCCCCCAGGCACTCAGAGCCTTTCCCCCCGGCATGGCACGGCGGTGGTGGCTCTGTCCCCGCTCCGGGACGTGGGGACAGCTGTCACCACGAGGCACCTCCCGCCCGGGCTGCGTCAGGCACCGGATGCCGGGGGCTGATCCTCCCTCCCCCGGCAAGAATGGATGGGGGCTCGGTGCCTGCCTCCTCACCCCAGCACCCACGGAACCCTCTGAGCCCCGATCTCCCTGTCCCCCTGCAGCCAGGGACATCCACTGATGGCCCCCCAGCCAGGAAACACTGCAGAGCTGGGGAGTCCCCAGAATTTCCACATTCCCTGCATCCACTGGTCCCCCATAGCCACGAACCCTCAGCATAGACGGGTGTCCCTTGCAAGCCATAGACCCTCAGCATCCAGTGGTGTACTCCAGCAGCCACAGGTCACGCCATCCACAGATTCCCCGGCATCTCCGTGTCCCCATAACCGCGGTCCCCAATCCCCATGGTATCTCCGTGTCCCTATAACCGCGGTCCCTGCTCCCTCTCATCTCCGGGTGTCCCCACAACGCCGGTCCTCTCTCCCCTCGATCTCCAGATGTTCCCATAACTGCGGTTCCCGCTCCCCGGTATCTCCGTGTCCCCATAACCGCGGTCCACTATCCCCATGGGATCTCTGGGTGTCTCCATAACCGCGGTCCCCTCTCCTCCCCCCACGTCCTGCTGTCTGCGGTCAGTCTCGAACCCGCGGTCTCCCGATCGAGCTCCGCGCCGCGGTCCCGTGTCCCTCGCGGCCGCCGTAGGGCGCGCAGCCATGGCGGCGCGGGCGGGCTCGCTGGTGGCGGCCGTGCTGGCGCACTCGGGCCGGCTGGACAAGGAGCACCTGGGGGCTCGCGTCGGGCGCCTCTCCCGCCGCGTCGAGGAGCTCAAGGCAAGGGACGGGGAACGGAGGGGGCGCGGGGAGAGACAGGGAGCCGGCACTGCGGCGGAGCTGGTCGGGACTGGGTGTCCAGCTGTGTGTCACTCGGGTGTCCAGATGTCCAGCTCTGGGTCAGCTGGATCGGGGTTTCCAGCCCTGGGTTATTTCGGGTGCCCAGCCCTGGTTTGTTTCGGGTGTCCAGCCCTGGGTCAGCTGGATTGGGGTGCCCAGCCTTGGTTCAGCCTCTGGTGTCCAGCCCTGCTCAGGGGTGCCCAGCCCTCTCCATCCCGCGGTGCCCCAGCTCTACCCTCTCACTCTGTCCCTGTGTCACCGAGGTGACGCTGTCCCTTTGCTCGCTGTCCTCAGGGAGAGGTGTGCACCATGATCAACAAGAAGTACAGCGAGTTCCTGCCCAGCATGCAGAGCGCAGAGGACCTGGTGGCGCAGGTGGAGGGGCTGTCCAACAACATCGACCTGCTCAAGGCGGGCATCGAGAACGAGGTGACTCCCAGGGACATCCTGCTCCATTTCAGCCCAAATCTGGAGCCCCCAGCCCATCCTGGAGTGCTTGGTCGCAGCCCCAAACCTGCCTGAGCTCAGGGAGTGTCTGGACAACACTTTCATGATGGGGTTTTGGGTTTGTGGCAGGACTTGATGATCCTGTCCAGCTCAGGGATTCTGTGATTCTCTGGCTGGGATCCCTGGGTGATATCAGCCCTAAAGAATGGCTTGAGGTGACACCAGGGTGCACATTAAGAGCTGCCATTAAGGGGTTGTCACTCCTGTATGGGTGGAAAAGTGTGTCACAGTGTCCTTCAGAGAGAAGGACCAGCCTTGGCTGGGGCAGGGGGTGGGACACAGGAGTAAAAAGGATGGAGTTTTTCCTTCCTCACCAAGTCATTCTCTGAACAGAAGTAAATGATAAGTGAAATTTAAGAGGAGAATCTGTGTGCTAGCCAGTGCTGTCAGTGAAATGAAAAATGCTGTTGTTTTAGGTCCAGCGAGATCTAAATGTGGCTGTTGCTGAGTTCACAGAGCTGAAGCAGCAGCTGGAGAGGGACACCCTGGTCCTGAGTGTCCTGAAAAAGCTGCAGGAGGTGAGGAGGGGGAGCAGAATAATCCTGCTCCTCAGTGTGAGCATTGTTCTGGGCTTCTGATTCGGATGAGTGTCTCACAGGTTTGGTGGGTGTCTGTGACCCACAGATTTGGGAGTGTCTGTAGCTCACAGATTGAGGTGAGTGGCAGCAGCTCACCGGTCTGGGAGTGTCTGTAGTTTACAGGTTTGGGTGAGTGTGTAGCTCACAGGTCTGGGAGTGTCTGCAGTAGCAGAGCTGCAGTGACACCCCCTGTGTGTGTTCCCCTTTGCAGTTTGACACAACTATCAAGGAGTGCAACTCTGCCCTGCAGGAGAAGCAGTACGTGGCAGCAGCTCAGCAGCTGGAGAAGGTAGCAGTGCCCCTGGCAGGGGGCTGGATGCCAGGGGTGGGTTCCAGGGGATGCTTTCCCTGGCAGGGCAGTGCCCACCTGAGCTGTGTCTGCTCTCCCCAGGCACGGAGCAGCCTCAGGAGCCTGGAGTCCCGCAGGGGCTTTGAGCTGAAGATCCTGAAGGCCCTGGGCACAGAGCTCACAGTGCAGACACAGAAC